CTTCGACAAGTTGGGGTATCACTGCAAGCTGAAAGTCAATTGGGCCTTAAATGTATCAATATTACAACCATAGGCAGTCATGCTGAAGTCTGAAAATTCCCATAGATAATGGAACTGGTCTATCTTTAATTCTCATTGATACAGCCAGACAGTGGTCCAGATCATGAGGGCAAGCCATTCAATACAAATCTGACAACATGCATACACAATTCATACCAATGCACTCTGGCTCCTTCTGATATTTTCCAGTTGCATCATCCAGGTACCCAAGGCTGTTGCAGGTTGCTGACAGGTCAGCCATCAGTAGCGGATCAATAGTAAATGCAGCCATGGTAGGAAATTTTCTGAAAAAAGAATGAAGAGCATGTCTTGGTAACATATGCATAAACAGATATTCAATCATCTGTCTTGCCAAAGATATGCAACATCAGCATGACTGTCACTGATATGCTCTGGTAGGCATATGCCAAGCTGGGAAGATAATAGTTCAGATGTTGCATGTTTCAAAAGATAAAGCATGCTATACCAACACAAAAAACAAAAAATGTTCTGAGTGTCAAGAAACCTGCTAACCATATAGCAAATATGCCAGTTCATTTCAGGCTTAAAGGTGATCAATACCTTCTTAAATTTGTTAATTGTGGAAATACAGAAAGAAAAAATATCCAACCATTGTGAAAACCTCCAAATACAAAAGGTGAATGACTTTGGGTGCACACATCTAACAGAACACTGTTATGACTGTAATGTGAGATCTTTGAGCTCACTCAAAACAATTTTAACATTATTGGGTTCCCCTACTTAACAACTTACATTATAGGGGTTTACAGGCATTTTGCATTTGCAGATTCCCATTCACAGTAGATGCACCACAATGAATGGGCTAATTTCATACATCAGGAATAATGCAATGTATAAGAACCATGTACTGCCTCTGGAACAATAAATTGTACCTGGAACAATAACCTGTATCTGGAACAATACACTATCTGGTACAAGCCACTATAGATGGAACAATACGCTGCGTCAACAGCGATACACAATATCACGAACAACGTGCTGTCAGGAACGATGCAGGGTACTGGGAGCAACACACTAAATCGGGAACAATGTACTGGATCGGAAACAATATGTCGCATCCCACACAGCAAACTGCATGGTGAACCTGACAATTGGTGACATATATCTGCTCAATAGTTTCCACATACCCAACCCGCAAGCCGCCTATATCCACCCACCCCAGCTCGCAGCGCGCACGGAATCTACGCCACCTCAGCGAGCGGCCCAACAATTCCAATGTGACGCACCCAACAAGTGTTTTGTCTTTCCCGCCGTAATTCCGCGCGAAAATAATACAGGGCTGACCACTTATAGTTTACATTCCCGCTAGTGACAGCTTTAAGCCAATGAGAATACAGACCAAGGCGAGAAGAAATGCTAATTTCACCTAAGTTGACAGTGGAAGCCGAAATCGAAAACAGTGCGAAGTGAGCTGCCCGTACCCCGTGAAGTATCCCTTCATTAAATAGATAAAAGTATTGTAAAAGTCTTGACAGTGTCGCGGCGTCAGAAGCTGGGCAAACATGCCCTCGTTTCTTGGCTGTAATAGGCTCCCGAGACCCTGCAACATATTTGCAGTATTCCATGCGCGTAATTCTTGCGCTCAGGTATGGGATGAGTGAACGTCTTCAGAGGCGGATCCAGGGGGGGGGGGGGGGACAGGCCATATGGCCCCTTGGCTCTTGGGCCCCGACGGAGCCCATAGGCTCAGGCATAGGCATAAACATAGGCTCATAGCCGGCCTAGGCATAAACATCAGGCATAGGCATAAACATAGGCTCATAGACGCAGTTTTTTAACACGAAACTCAACCAAATTTGACGTCTTTGGGCTTCCAGGCGACCAAGAGCAATCGTAAGCAAAGGCGAAAGGCCGACGAACAAACAACAGTAATTATTTGCCGACTGAGAGCGAGGCGATTTAAATTGCTTAAGGTCGTTACGTTGTCCAGATACGCTACGCTGTTTCTGGGGTCCTGCATATCTATTGCAGAGTAAACCAGATCGTGGAAAGGGCCTTACACGTCTGAATAGCTCTATATGCTATAGTCGGAACCCATATGTTAAACTGCCGGGGTATGCTAGGCTGCTCAGGGGCCCTCCCGTTGACCTACCGACACACTCGCGATATGCTTTTGGACCCTCTACATTGGTCTATGGCCCTTCCAATTCCCTATCACTCGCGAAGAACTACGCTCTTGTTGGGGACCGTCTGTTAACTAGCTCGGGCACACCCGATCGTTCGGAGCCCTCCACATTGGGTCTTAGCGCATTATTTTGATGGAGGGCCCTACTCATGTCAGGGGCTCCCATCTGTTAACCTCGCCTCGGGCACACTCGATTGTTCAGGGTCCCTGCACATTGGGTCTTGGGTACTTCCTACTTGAACGTAATGTCCTACCATAGTAGGGTCCTACTATCTGCCGACATGCGTGGGCACTCTTAAGCGATCAAAGCCCTTCTACGGATTCTTCGCATTCGTCCGAAAGGCTCCATGTGCTTTTTCCGGGGCCTCACGTGCCGGGGTGCATTCGGTTGGGCCCTTAAGAGCGCTTAATTAATATCGGGTTCTTTCCACTTGCTCGGAGGGTCCTGTGTTGTTGCTAGGGCCATATAAGGTAACGCACCGAGACACCCGATGCTTAGGGGTTCTCCGCATGGATCTAGGGCTATTTCCCATTGAGCTTACTTGCGGAGGACCCTTTACTCTTCTCAGGGCCCTTTATGTTAACCCGCTCGGGCACTTTGGGTCGCAAGGGGGCATTAATTCGTGTACATTGGTCCTGGGTTATCCAGAGGGTCCTGCGCTCTGGTCGGGCGCTTGAAGTTAGTCTGTCGGGGTACTCTCGATCGCTGAGGGGCCCCATCGCATTGGTCTTAGGCAAATCTCGCTTGCTCTGATAGCCCTATATTGTTGACGGAAGCCTTTTGGTTGGTCTGTCACAATACCCTCAATCACTCAGGTGCCGTCCCTATTTGTCTCGGGTTTTCCCGTATTATAGGAGAGCCTACGCCGTCGACGGGGATCTGAATCTTGATCATAATGATTGGAGCTTTACGTCTCACCGAATTACAGGGACATTTCGAGAGGTACCATGCGGGAGGCGGTGTTGGCGTGGCCGGGGCCCGAGTCCAAGCCCAACATGCGGTGGTGGTGTGGCCGGGGCCGAGTCCCAGGCCGACAGGTCCACAGTCGAGCGCCTTAACCATTGTACCACCATCACTCCGGACCTGAATCTCAATCGGCCGGGGCACTCTTGATCGTTCTTGGGCCCTCCACATTGGTCGTGGGCTCTTCCGATGAAGTCAGAATGATCTTTTATTTTGGCGAAAGCTCCACGTATGCTCGCGTACGCCAGGGTGTTTCACCGGGCGTTTCACCGGTGTGTACGGGCCTGACAGGATTTTATTACTTCGCGTGCACAAGTCCAAAACCACAGGATGGCGATTTCCCTCGGTGTTTTCCCTCTGAGCCTTTGAGCAGCAGTCGGATATGCGCGCCGTCAAGTTTTGCGTGTCATTGTCCAACATTATTTTACGCGCCGCTGACGTTGTGCATGTCATTTCCGTTAGTTATTGAATTTTCAACACTTGATATGCTGTTGCTCCACGTTTCTAATGCGTTTTGAATGCTAGGATATTTTACACTCGTTCATAGCAGTAAAAAAGAACGCTACTCTGGACATCAGCCATCAGCTGATCACATCGACTGGTCGGCTAGTCGAACATAAGCTAGGAATCAAGTTCGTGCTTGATTTTGATGGTATTTAGTAGCCATCTTAAGTGCATTTGCCTTGTTTTCTCCGAGACACTTAGTCTCAAAATAACAGGGTCCACCACGATCTGGAGAGAATGAACAAATTCCATGCATTTACATTCCTAGCACGCCTAGTTTTCAAGGGCCGTGCACAAAAAGGTGGGTTCCTGTATAAAATAGGATACATTATAATGTTATAATTAAACGGCTGGAGTACGAATTTTTTTGGGAGGGAACCTAAACTCTAGTAAAGCTCTACGATGTTGCGTGCCCCCTTCCACCACCTCCACCCTTGTCAATGTCAGTGTGACGATCGAGCTGGCTGACGCACTCGCTCGTCGCTCGCTCGTGGTGAAAAAGACCGTGCGTAATGCATCGTCTTGCGACCATGGTATCAGTATGTATGTTCTGTCAGAGGTGTCGTTTCCTATTCAGTTGAAGGGATCCAGCCCATCGCCCAACTCCCGACTTTGAGGAGAAAGCAGGTCCATGCCTTGGAGAAGCGCGACTATGTTGGTCTATTTCCGGGGTAAGCTTAGCCTTCTTTCATACTCAGATCCCAACGCATCCTGCGGCCTTTCACCTGTTTACACTTTGACGGTGCCCATGGATCCTGATGGTTGCAGCGCGACAGTGCGTAAAATACAGCTGGCATGGCATACATACAGCCGGGAGCCTGGGCCGGTGGGTCAGCGCATTAAACGATGCCGAGTCACTTTAAACCACCATTCTGAGAAGTGGCCGAATGGTTTTCAGCCAGCTCTTTTGGGTTTCCCATAAACAATGCTGAGTTTAGTCACCCGATGTATTCCGCTCAGATGCCAGATGACTTTCATTGTTCGACGATGGCTCATCTATCGTAACTCTTGGTAAAGGCCGCAAGGGCACTTACGCACCATCTCCGCTCCGACATATCCCCACGGATCTCAGGCGCACCGTTTAGGCATTCTTCTGAGAAGCCGATTCGCATGCTTTCGCCCACGCATCCCGGCTGCCTCAGCGGCGAAGCGGGAAACAGGAAACACTGCTCGGCGCACGGGAAGCCCCACGCTGCACCTGCCCTCGGGCCACCGATGACCTTGGCGCCGGGCCGAGATGACCGCTGATCGGGCCTTTTTATCTCGGCGGGCCTCGACCTTGACGGATGACGCCGCGCGTAAGCTTCGGAGGAGCGGCGGCGGATGCCGAGCCACAGCCGGGGAGTGGGTGACGCCGGCTGGTCGGGGCTGCGCTCTCCTGGCGACCTGTTCTCCAGAATGGGGCGCCTGCCGACGCTGCCGACGCTGCTGCTCCTGCTGCTGCTGCTGACATATTCCGGACATGGACAGAATCCGTTCAAAGGTGGGTTCCGTGGAATGTGCCGGGTTGCTTGGAACAGCCGGAGTTGCCGGGGTGCGCACGGCAGCCAGCTCACGGGCCTGTTTAAGGTTCCGTTTGATATAAGATGCGGGCTCGTGGTTCGTATCTGATGTTGCTGTAGGTACCACCACTTCCCCCACCCCCCGGTCCCCCTCCGCGCAGTGTCGCTTAACTATTTCCCATCGTCTATGCTGTACTGTACTGTACGACACGTATCGAAATCACGAGGGCAGTTCGGTGTCGTAGCGACACAAAACCATTGCCGTTTGACGGAGGAGAGAACCTGAAATCGTCGTGGCAAGAATTGGACGCTGTATGCGCAACCGGGCAATTGTCCACGAGGATAAACCATGTATTCGTCCGCGTTCGAAAGATTTTGAGCATCACTGTCAAATTTCGGCAACTGATGCGGATACCTACACGCACGCTGTTGCGAGCAATGCGCAGGTATAAACGTACGTGGACGCTGCACGCTGTTAAAGGCATCATGTACGGATCATAGCATGCCTATATTGGCCGTATATATATATATATATATATATATATATATATATATATATACGCGAGCGATGTACGGTCAGAGACGAACACGAAGACATAGCTGGCGCCAATAGGCCATTGCGCGAATGCGGAGTGCGCCCCGCGTGTTCAAGTCTCCGGTTCATCCGCTTCAGATGCACGGCTGCGGAGGAACGGGTGAACAGGCACTGCGCTCACTGACACCGACTCACTGACAGCAAATATGTCCACGATACGACATACTGCCGAAGGATGTACATAGTCGGTTCTCCATCTCTTTTTAAAAAAAAATACGCGCTGCTGGCTTCGTTTTCCACAATTCGTTTCCCCCGAAGATCGTTTGAAAACATTTGCTCCTAATGTTCTTATCGTGACTCGTGAGCCTGATTGTTCTAGTTCATGTTCGAATTGTGGACATGGTGCATGAGTGCTGGTTAGTATTTCAAAACAGTTTATAGAAATTAGACGCATATTTGTTGCCAGGAAAAGTAGTTGAAACACCAACACAGCAACAGCAGCCAGCATTGCGCTCATACACCAGGATCGGTCACATCCGGCTGGCTAAGTGCATCGAGTTCACTGGGAGCTGGCACCTCGAGACACCAGGACACATCCGACCTAATCGATGCACGCACGCACCACACGTGCGCTGGTACTCTAGCCGTAGGTTTTGACAGTCGCGAACTTACACTCGTCTACCACGCAGGCCTGTTCGGAGGACGGCAGGGCGGCGGGGGCGGCTTCAACCTGGGAGGCTTTCTGAAGTTCGCCGCCGACGAGACGGTGAAGGCAGTCACCAACCAGGGGCAGCAGTCTCAGGACGGCCAGCTGAGGCTCGTCAACCCCGTGAACGCCTTCAACGCCGCGCTGGGCCAGAACTCGAACCAGCGGTACAGCATCGGCACGCCGTTCGGCGAGTTCAAGATCGGCGGAGGCCAGCGGCAGACGACCTCTTCGCCGGCTCCTACGGCAGCTACAGCGGCGACGCGACCCACGTCAGCACCAACCGCAGGTCAGCTGGCACATGTAAGGGGGGGGGGGGAGAGATCTGCATGCTGTTAGTAACCACCTGGCAGTCGAAGTATGGGGTACGCACATGCTCGGCTGGCTTCCAAGGACAGTGGTGCATAACTGATGAATCACAGGAATTTTGCAAGTTTTAAGTACCACGGACGGTGTCTTGATCCGATTAGCACAATGTAATTAATGCGGCACTTATGAATGACCGATTCAGTTTTCACGCACGACACTTCGTTGTTTGTTGGTTGTTTTGATTAGAACCCTTTCGGCCAGCCGTGACTATTTCATGGCTATAGGACGAAGGAGAGTGGGTAGCGATGAGGTAGAACTACATGCATCTGAGGTGTATCTACCGAGGCTAAGCTAACACAGGGACTCCTCTTCGGGGTTTGCGCTCGGTGCTCGGACACGACCCCAACCAGGGGGCACTTGGGCCCACTGATGGCTGGTGCCTGCAACCTGCCTCGGACGAACGAGGTGTCGCAAGGATGCAGTATGAAGCAAGAATGCGAAGAGCAGGGTGGGTGGACCCAAGTGGTGATGGGACTTGCCATCATTATAGCGTTTATGATAACTAGCCGCCTGCTAATGTGCCAGCACTAGCAGAACTCTACTCAATCGATCTGACACCATCAGTGGAATAGGGCGCACCGACTGTCGCGCTGGGGTGGATGTACGTGGCCTCTCTTACTGACCGACCAAGCGTCGCCGGCGCTGGCGTCGATCCAACAGTCGGTGACGTCACGTCGACATGTCCCCAGCCCCGGCCACCAGCCCGTGCAGAGGTCGCCGCTGTCGCCCCCAGCCTTCAGGCGGCACTTCTCCCGTTCAGCTGTTCCAAGGTCAGCGCTTGCCACGCGCATCGAGCGGCGCATCAGTGTCCCGCTATGTTCGCAAAACCCAGCCTGTGTTATAAAAGGCTGGACAACGTGTCAGTGTCCTGCTGTGTCCGCGGAACCCAGTCTGTGATATGAACCCAGTCTGTGATATTGGAACTCTGACAGGTCACCTGGGGCTGTTTGAGAGCATGCTCCTGGAAGAGCCCACTGGCCTCACGATAGCCCGTCGTTGCCGTTGGAGCTTTACGACGCACTCCGCTGCTGATGCTACATGACGTCACCTGCCGCCTACCCTGGCAGGCAGGGCGGTTACAATAGCCTGCGGTCAGATCAGGTCAGGTCATGTCAGGTCAGATCTCGTATCAGTGTAGGCGAAACACATTCACCGAGAGGACGACAGCTGCCATGTCACAAACGGCTTCCTGTCTGTCCAGGCTGCGGCATCAACCGCCGTAACCTGGCCACTCGGATCGTGGGAGGACAGGCGGCCGACCCGCGGGCCTGGCCCTGGATGGTGGCCCTGCTGCGCGGCACGCCCGGCTTCTTCTGTGGCGGAGTGCTCATCTCTCAGTGGCACGTTCTCACCGCGGCACACTGCGTGCAGAGGTGAGTGGCAGTGTGCTGATAATCTCCGCTCAGCACGTTCTCACCGCGGCACACTGTGTGCAGAGGCGAGTGGGAGTGTGCTGATAATATCCGCTCAGCATGTGCTAACCACGGCACACTGCGTGCAGAGGCGAGTGGGAGTGTGCTGATAATCTCCGCTCAGCACGTGTTGGCCGCGGCACACTGCGTGCAGAGGTGAGTAGCAGTGTGCTGGTAATCTCCGCTCAGCACGTTCTCACCGCGGCACACTGCGTGCAGAGGTGAGTGGGAGTGTGCTGATAATTTCCGCTCAGCACGTGCTAGCCGCGGCGGACTGCGTGCAGAGGCATGTGGGCGCATGCTTGTACCGCCGATTGTTTCCCCTGGGCACTTGCTGCCCGCGGTACGCTGGAAGTTTTTGAACACGCGAATATCAGCTGAAACCTCGTCGGCACGCGGGCTTTTGTGCTACTGTGCATAACTGTGCACGTTGTGCACAGACTGCCAGCTCTCTCAATCATTGCGCCATGAGGACAGCCCCACCATGGGCTGCAGTTTGCCCCCCCCCCCCCCCCCGTCATGGTCTGCTGTTTGCCCCCTTCCCTCTAGCCTGAGCGTTTCGTCTTCCTCCGCCCTCTGGTTCCGTGCCGTTCCCGCCGTCTCCCCGATCACCAAACATCGCTCGTCCCCGGAGCCGGCCGTGACGCCCCCCCCCCCCCCTCCGCCCGCAGGTTCCGTCTGCGGGAGGTGCGGGTCCGCCTCGGGGTGTACGACTTCAGCAACGACACGGAGGTGGCGGGTGAGCCGCTGGGCCGAATGGTCGTGCACCCGCGGTACGACCCAGTCCGCTACCGCAACGACGTGGCTGTGCTCACGCTGGCCCGGCCGGCGCAGCTGAGCGACGACGTGTGGCCCATCTGCCTACCCGAGCCGGGCCTGGACTTCCAGAACGTCAGGGCGACGGTGATAGGTGAGAGGGCCACGACCACGAGCGTGTCAGGAACGGCGGCAGCAGGCGGAGGCCAGTCCGTCATTGGTCTGCCTGGTGTTTAAGAATTTGGACCCACCCAAACTAACCAATGAGGACAGCCTCTTGGAGCAAGCGTGACCAACAAGCAGACAGCCTGCTAGTCATGCCCCCGCGAAGCATCCCCCGAACACGTGCCCGCGCGCAGCAGCTGAGCGCACCGGCCCGCTTTTCAGGGTGGGGTACCATCTACCCGGGCGGGCCGACCAGCAGCGTGCTGCGCCAGCTGACCATCCCCGTCTGGAGCCAGCAGGAGTGCGACACCGCCTACCCGCAGCTCATCGACGACGTGTTCCTGTGCGCCGGCGGCCGGCAGGGCGGCCGCGACGCCTGCCAGGTAACCGCCGCCCGCCAGAGCGCGCCGCGGCCAGGCGGCTGCGGCTGCTGCAGTGCTACGGTCAGGGGCAGGTGGCGAAATGACATTTCTTGTCTCAAAATAAGTGCTTGCACGGAAAGCTTTGGCCTCTGAGAGCATACCAAATGGTGTTTTTTTACGCTGTACGCAGCAGCCAAGTACGCAGTTCGCAGCACGCTGTACGCAGAAGCCAAGGGCCGAGCTTCAGTTGAACTCTTCCGTGCGTTGTCCAGTGATGGCTTGATAAGCCGATCACTGATCTGGCGAGTGTTGATCGGGGCCGCTCGAATGTGCTGCCACCTTGCGGCTAGACGCCCATTGGAGCGGCTCGTCTGCCGTCTGTATACGGCAGACGGGCTCCTGGGGAGGTACGCGCGGGCGCCACTGCCGCCATTTCGTAGTGCGCCGACTCGCTGTTCCACGTGGTACGTGGGAACGAGTATGACATGGTCCTGCTAAGAAAAACGTAGGGCGCTGTTTCGCTGCGTGACAACTCGGCGGCCCGTGAGTGCTTGTGACGGTCCTGCCGTTGGAGAATAACACTGCCCCCCACTTTCCCTGGCCAGGGCGACTCGGGCGGCCCGCTGCAGCACATGCGGTCAGACGGCTCGTGGAGCGTCATCGGCCTCGTCTCCTGGGGCAAGAGGTGCGCCGAGGTCGGCTTCCCGGGCGTCTACACGCGCGTCACGCGCATGCTCCGCTGGATCCTCCGCAACACGGCCTGAGGCGCTCCCGCTGAGATCGCCCAGGCTGACGCGTGGACTCTGCCGGGACAGGCTGCGTCACGCACCAGTCTCGCTGCACGCTGCTCCACGGCCAGATGACCAGACCAGACACCGTTGTGCTGGCGTCGGTGACGCTGCAGCTGATACAGAGTGCCCTGGGAACTGTTTGTGTTCGGGTCGGAAGCCTGCAAGTTACGTCCCGCCGGGAAGTTCGCATGTGACAGCCCTGCCCTCGCCACTAGCACGGTCTGGCTCAGCTTCGGGTCGGCACATTTCTGTCAAACGGGTGACATCTTGAAGTTGCATGCCTCGCCGGCTGGGCTGTCTGGTTGTTTAAAGCATTTCGGGCGTGCTGACTTGTTATTTGTTTAGCTGTTTTCGCGTAGATGCCAGAGAATCTCTAACCGAGGTGAAAGCGGAATGCTGGCTGCTAGTTTGGTATGGTCATGACTACATATTAGAAATACACCACGCAATCGGCCAATTGCACGTGTCTGACCGAGGATTCTACCTTTACCACTAACCCGCCTCTCATCACGGAAAATACCGTATTTTGGCGTGTCATCATTGCAATCAACGGAACCCCCGACGAGAAGACCCTCTGTGATTGAGACTCGAGCCATACGCGCTGATTGATTGGCAGTCAACAATTGTTTGTTTTATTAAACCACTTAAGATTTGTTTCAGCCACTTGCTTAAGCCGTTCTGGGGTTTGCTGACGCTCGCACGGCCTCCGCCTGAAGTCGGGGCATCGTTTGCTCCTTAGAACCAAGACAGTTTTTCATCGCTTTGCGCCTTAAGATAATTTCAACGTGTTCATGCGTTGTAACGAGCCGGGCGGGCATCTAGAGTAGACAGTTGCTCCCCACCTCCAACCACCGACAGCTTGCATCAAACAGCGCAGTTAACAGGCGGTCTGCAACATTGGCGCGTCTTCGGCTGCAGAATGTCTGCCCGCTCGGATGAGGCCATGGACTACCTACAGAAGCATAAAATACCTACTCTCGTGGAAAACCTCGTTGGCAAACTCGTCTTTCATCAACCAGGTCAGTAGTCTGCGCTTTTATACGCCTATTCCAAACGCTGCATGTCATTCTGGGAACACGCGATATAACGTATTGCCCCCCCCCCCCCCGCCCCGCCCACCTGCACATAATCGAATCAGATCTCCACTGCTCTTTTATCAAAGCCGGCTCAGTCCGCTCCAAAACTCCAAACATGATCTAGGTGACAGCGTGGCATAACCTCCCGTCCATACGACCTACGCTGCCACGTGCGTGCCATTGGCCCTCCCGCAGAGAACCCTACCTCCTTCCTGGTATCGGAGCTGGAGAAACTGATCAAGCTGCGCTCCAACACGGAACAGGATGCGCCGAGCCTCTTCACAGACGAGAACATTGTGGCCCTCTTCGAGCAGTACGACGTTAACCGCACTGGCGTCATCTCGGCCAAGCAGTACAGCGACGGTACCGTCCGCTCAGCAGCGGGAACGGGGGCGGGGGGGAGGGAGGGGGACGGAACCACACGGGTGCCACTGCCAGCGGTACCGTCCCCCCACCAGCAAGAACGGGACGGCACAACCACCCGGGGAGGGAGCACTGTCGACGGTACCATCCCTTCACCAGCGAGAACTGGAGGGCGGAACCACACGGGGAGGGAAGTCTGTCGGCGGTACCGTCCCCTCACCATCGAGAACGGGAGGGCGGAACCACACGGGTGCCACTGCCAGCGGTACCGTCCCCCCACCAGCGAGAACGGGACGGCACAACCACCCGGGACCACCGTCGAGTGAAGCCCGTCTGTCAGTTCGTCGACCGCCCTGAAAGCATGAGTTGGTGACACATTGAGCGGAACCTGTTACGCAAACCACGCCCACACCGCCCCAGGGGCAGGCCCAGTCCAGCACCACTTCAGCACCGGCTGAGAAGTATCGATGCATCTGTATCATATCACGCCAGCACGACGAGGCGCTCGCCCCACGCCACGGTCGCTGTGTAATCCCTTCCCCGCGCTGCCGAGCGAGGGAGTTTGTCGACAATGCTGTTCACGTGCATCTGTATCGGATCATGTTATACTGGCCGCCGAGTCGATGAGAATACGTGGCAGGAGTTGTAATCGCAGCGTGTTTACAGCCTTCAAGACGCTCAGTCTACCACTCACAGTGACACCGGAGGTCCACTGTACCAAAGCCCAGTTTCTGGATGACGTGTGAGTACGTTGTATCGTGCCAAGACCAAGATTTTCTTGTGAATACGGGTGAGGGCTTGACGGAACCATTTTGCGAATTGTTCAGTTCAATTCGTCAGAATACGATTCTTGAATAGCACAAATTGATATTTCACAGCTTACATCATGTACAAGATGTACGTTGCATTACAATTATGGAATGGTATCGCTACATCGGTGCAGTGTCTCGTTATCAAACGGCGTCTGTTAAGTGTAACCTTCAGTGATTAGCTAATGGTGTCTGGTTTGCGCAAGTCGCTTTGCGTCATTCCACCTGCCGATCGCAGTTCCTTCCACATCTCCAATTTCGGCTTAAGAAACAGGTTCTCATACCAGAACTTTGTCATATTTCGTAACAACACTCTTCGGTCTCACCCCACGTGACTTACACATACGGTATTGCACACGGTACAATAACACAGGTCACGGTTATCGAACAACGACCGTGGTGTACACCAGATAAAACAGAGATGAACTGAAATTACTGCCGCATAAGCCGCGCAGGCAGAGGGATACCGGAACAATAGTTCGCAGAGTGAACAAAACATACCATGACAGAGGGGAGAATAAATACTGATGTATTCGAACAACGGTGAACAAACTCCAGCCGTCATTCTTGTTTTTGCAGGCGGGCCAGTCTAAAACTGAAGGCGTGCGCCTTCTACTAGCGGAGAGCAGGTCGGATCTAGGCAGTGGCATGGCCCCTGAAACACGGAAGCTTCCGTCAGCGACAGCACACGGTTGCCGACGCACTAACGACGCGTCCAGTGTTCCCGTCAGCGGCTGTGGACGCGGTTATGGTATCCCTAAATGCATGCTGTTGCGCAAAGGTTATTCTCACAATGTCGTGACCATAAGCATCTATAAGATCTTCCAGCGTTACTTGCAATGCACTTGCAATGAACGCCCTTATCGCTTAAAAAACGAAGTGTAGATCGAGTTCGCATTGATGGTTGTCGAAATGTAGTGGTCAAATGTAGATGGCGTGAAACGTTGATAAATATTTTCAAGGGTTTTTAAAAAAAAGTCCTGTAATCACACTTAGCTTCTGTGTGACTTGAACCTTATACCTTCTGTTTAAAAAAAAACAGGTTTGATTTAACACATGCCGTCTCATATAGCTGAAAGGAAGTCGGTGGAGTCCCAATATCTCCACATTTCTCAAAGCATAAATAGGTGACAGCGATTCATGCAGTATCCACCCTGAAGGTACCGATAATGTAGTAATAAAGCTGCGCATCTGTGAAACCAGCAACGCGGGGTTCAATTCCCCGCCGTGCCCGCCCTTCCTGCTAGAGTTAGGCAGTTAGTAGAAGTATTGGGGCTTTCGGGCGCTGCGATTGCGCGATCATATGGCGCCCATAAACTATGTCCACATCAAAATTGTTTCAAACATTTCAAAACGGGCTGTTGTGTGGCGCAAACTATCTGAATCGGTATATACATATATATATATATATATATATATATATATATATATATATAAATTTAAGAAGTGCTTGATGTGTTTTTTTTTTACTCGGCAATGTATTTGAAAATACACTGCCGAGTGAATCGGAGAGCGTGCCAGACGGTGCAGTCGGACCGAAGCGCCGCAGGCGTTCAACACGGGACAATGCGGGACAAGAAACGAACACCAAGCGCACATTAAGCGTTGTGTTAAATTAACGGCATCGGGGTGGTTCATCGTGAAAAAGGGATCTATGGCGGGCGTAAACATGGCCGATCCACGAACGCCTAAGCATGACTCCCTCCCGTCCAGACTTCCGATAGCGAGACTACTATTCCTAGATAACCGCTAAAGGATTTTCCCTTTGCTGGTGCCCACCGCATACCATTACCAACGGCTTCGTACGACGGACGACTTGGCGGGGATACCCAGAAGCCCTTAACAGGCATTGGATACGCCCTCGTGCATGGACGAACCGCACGAGGCAGGCAATGCCAGATAGCGGCACCGGTAGTGACGTGGTTGAGCTGAGCGTTGGCAAACCAGAGGTGGGGGTTGGATTCTCCGCGGTGCTCACCCTTCCTGCCAGGGTGAGAGGCAGGCAAATCCAAAAGGCCTCAGCAGGTGAGTGCGTCGTTAAGCCCCCCATGAGGGCCCAGTAACCATCCTAATGGCGTTTTAAGTCCACGTATTGTTATGTCTACAGATACGACCGCCTAAGAATCGGCATCTTCCGCGGCTCGCACGAGTATGATACCCGCCAGCTTGCAGGTAGTTCCCGCCCGGAATCCAGTTAGTTTGGCACATGGGTATGCCACGTCACATGTTGCCCCAAGCGACACAACACCAGACCTCCCGGCACTCGCCGCTTTCACATTGCACCAAGAAACGCAAGTCTATCAAAAGCTCATTTAAATCCGGCAGCAGGGAAGCTTGTGGTGTAAGAGCAGCGAAGCTTTGCGCAGTTTACCTTTCAAACCTACCATCTCGGAAACCCCGCCGATCGGCTTGTGAGACACACAAAGACGACAGCCGTCTGAACTTCCGAGGGCAGGACATGTCCCATCTGCAGACGCATTCGCATCAACACACAGCAACACTGTCAGTTCAGTGCACAAGTTCCGGCTATGAGGGTGACCCCGACTCGCGAGTCGGCCTCCAGCCGGAGGCGAGGCGAGGCGGCGCGGCGCGGCGCGGCACGGCTGGCAGACGCTGCCGGGGCACAGAGACGCCACTCACCACCGGGCGGCGCGCGTGTTCTCCTTGATGTCGTCGATGATGAACTGCACCACGTTGGTGGTGGTCTGGTTGCCGCCGGCGTCTGCGGCGTGTGCGCTGACGTCACTAGACCGGTCCACTCGCCCGACCGTGTCGGACCCACAGTATCAGCAACGCACGGTGTCCGACGCACCATACAATGAGGCGGTGATGACGTATTGAAGGGAACACGGCACACACCGTCGCACGTCCTTTATGGACCGTGGACGCATCAAAGTCCACGGGTCAAAACCGGACCCCACGTGGGAGTTCTTGATCCTGTTCTGGCGATACTTACGATTAGCGAATTGGTCACATTTTGTGCCCGGACAGATAAGTGAAGCAAGAACCACATCTACAACCACCAAGTTTTGGCTTTCTGCATCACCCCACCTGGTGGAGCGAAAGGGGTGGCCTCAGACACGGGCCGGTAGAAAATGAAGAGAAGCACAGCCCCGCCACATTCCCAACTAAATATCCTGTTCAGGAGTACCGAAAAGGGCTGGTTCCTGGTAACGTCTCCCACGCCACCACCAGAGCGACAGACTCCCGTCTCACCACCCTCAGAGACCAGCTGCCCAGCTGCTGCCCCGACCGTCGGGCCGGCGCCGCTGACCTGGCGTGGTGATCCTCTCGCAGATGGCGCGCTCCACCGCCTGCCGGATCAGCTGCTCGTGCTGATGCAGGCCCAGGTGGCCCAGCATGTCGCAGCCGGCGTTCAGCATCGCCAACGGGTTGGCGATATTCTTGCCGACCATGGCGCTGCCCGTGTTGCGCGTGCCCGGCTCAAACACCGCGTACTGCGGGGAAACGGGCAGGACCCGTGTCATCGCGGCTGGCGGGACGGCGGCGAGGCAGATACGGCGTACTGAGGGGAAACGGGCAGGACCCGTGTCATCGCGGCTGGCGGGACGGCGGCGAGGCAGATACGGCGTACTGAGGGGAGACGGGCAGGGACAGTATCATCGCGGCTGAAGGACGGCGAGGATGACATGGCGTGCTGCGGGGAGGTAGGAACAGGAGCTTGTCATGGCGGCCAAACAGAAAAATAGAGGCACACGATGCAGGGATAGATCCTGTCGTGGCGCCAGCCAAGGGAGGGGGATTCAGCGCACCGTGGAGAGGCAAGCAAGGCCGTATCACGGCGGCAGCCCAATGTAGGGGACGCTTGTTGTCGATTGGAGTTTTAGGGCGCGCCGACCACTGTGGTCCTTTTGCGCCCACCAGTGCAGGGGATGTAAACAGGACGGCAAACAAGCGGGATGGAGGTGGAAATGCACGCACACATCACCCGAGCAAAATCGGAAAAAGACACGACACAAAAGACAGAACACAAGTCCATGGCAGAGCTGTGCGAACGTGTGCAGGTGTCGACCCTCGCCTCCTAACCTGTACACTGGACCACAACCTGGCACGCGAACCAAAGCAGGGATGAGCGAGGCAGGGCGAAGGCAGCTGACCTTGGCGCCGTAGTTTTTGCCGGACATGATGCCGGGCCCGCCGGCCAGACCGCAGGCCACGTTCGACACGACCGTGCCGTACAGGTTGGGCATGACCATGACGTCGAACTGCTCGGGCCGCGACACCATCTGCATGCAGCAGTTGTCGACGATCATGCCGCTGAACTCGAGCGACGGGTAGCTCTTGGCGACTCGCTTCATCGTCTCGAGGAACAGGCCGTCCGACAGCTTCCTGGGGAAGGGGACGCGCCACTGTGACACACCCGAAGAAGCCCGGCAGGAGGCTGAGAGGCTGGAGACCGCCAGCCCACCGGAGACGGCCCGGCGTCTCCTGGCATTACGTTCGGACAATAGTACTCTGTCTGCTCCGCGCGATGTGCCCGCACTGTCGAAAGCAGCAACACAACATTAGGAGACCAAAACAGGACCGCAAGCACGAACGGCTTCGGATGTACGGCTAGCGAATGGCCCAGGCTCTCGCACGCCACTCACATGATGTTGGCCTTGTGGATGGCGGTCACCTTCTTGCGGCCCTGCTCCAGAGCGTAGTCGAAGGTGAAGCGCGCCAACCGCTCGCAGTTGGACAGCGTGATCACCTTCAGGCTCTCGATCACGCCCGGCACGTTCTGGCGGAGGAGACGGCGGCACGGTGGGTGAGACGCGCGCCTTCGCGGGAGGCACGGGCTAGGAGGCTCGGTCTCATCACCCAGCCCCGACGGATCGGTCACCTCCAACAGGTCACTGTACACTTCCGTCATCAGGTGCTGGAGGCACGGGCCAGGAGGCTCGGTGTCATCACCCAGCTCCGACAGATCGGCCACCTCCAACTGGTCACTCTACGCTTCCACCATCAGGTGCTGGCCGAAACATATCTCTCAGACTGACTTTCAGCTATTCAGCATTTGTGATGGGCACCGTACTGAACATCGCAATAAGAAAATCAGGTTACGCTTTTAACAATGTCCACATTCACTTCGTGGACGCGGGCATACCACTACCACGCGAAGACGACACTGTGAGGTGTCGTCTTCGCCTAACGCCGCCAGGCTCACGTCCGAACCACCCAGCACTGGCCACAACAGCCAACGGCGCCGCGCCGCGCCCACCCACCTCGTGCTCCATCATGGCGTACTCGCCCTCCGTGTTCTGACGCACGATCACGATGTCGATCTCCGGGTGGCGCGTGGGCACGGTCGGGTGCGACCGGCAGTGCAGCACGTACGCGAACAGGTCCAGCTGGTTGCGCAGCTCCACGTTGTGCGACATGGTGCCCGGCTGGTTGCTGCGCGACTCGATATTGCCTGCGGAGGAGGGCGAGGTCAGGTCCCGGGTCTTTGCACCACTGTTCGACGGCCACGGTAAATGACCTCACGCAATGGCAGGGATCGTGCGGAAGACATGCGGTTGGTGCCAGGTCCGCCGGATCACGGACGTAAATCTATACAGAAGCGTCGTGCCGTAACGACTCGGAAAAATATGTCGCTGAACGACCGCTGTTTTGCTTCATCCTGACAGCAATCAGCACATCACCTACGACCCTAACCATTCTCACGAAGCTACGCACCAGGCTGCTGTCCCCATCGAGCCAGGCGCGACCTCCACCCCCCGGACGGGGGCCCCGGGTATGAGCGTGCTGCACCTTTGATTGCGACGCCGTTGCGCCGGATGGAGGTGATGGCGCCGCTCATGGAGGCAGCGTCGGTGCCGCTCGTGTCCACGTTTATCTCCTCGAAGTCAACTGGCACGCCGGCATATCTGGCGGCGCGGATATGCTCGTCATCTACATACAGCAGTGCACAGCAGCACCGATGCGAAGAATTTAGTGATGCAGGCAACCAACTCAATGGCAGCATAGAATAACAGACTGTGCTTGTTCTCATTCCGGCATGGAACATCATCTCACACTGGTGATAAAATCACAGCCACCAGAATGTTCCTGAATCCTCAGCATGCCACCATCCACACCAGCACTAACACACATGATGTGCGGTCATATGCTTGGTATGTAAGTAGGAGCTGAGCTCCCCTGCTCACCTGAACACCTCCTTCAGGTGGCCCATCATCTCTGGACCTATCCCAGCACCGGGCAGCATGGTGACTGTGCTACGTCCCCCATACCTGGCCAATGACCTCTGTGGTGAGCATTTATCAGTTAGGGTAGATGAAAGATTGTGCAACCTCTGTACACAAAATGCATACAAAAACCAATGTTAAAACAGTTCATCAAATAACCTCACCCTTTTTTCATTAATGTGTCTAACACAAAACAAACACATCATTAATGGGACATGAAACATAGGCTTAAAAACCTTCAAACTGTAGTGACGAACCAATAAATCTTACCAAGTATGCCACAATTCCACCAGTTATTTGCATTACAACATGAGCTCGCTGTCTGCACCACATAGACAGCATTTTGAAACATCCCAAAACCACACCATTACTTACATCAGTTCCATAATTTCTGGCCTGAGTAGTACTTCCCAACTTGCTTATAGCTGCTGCCTGAAATAAGCACACATATGCACATGATTGAAGGCAAAATATTCTGTCAGTACCCCAGTTTGGAAGACACAGATATACACAACCACTCTGGCATACCTGGCATTGGTTATGATGCTATCAGTATGCTTTGGTGCTCGAAGATGGGAGCACCAAAGCACACAAGGAATAAGTGATGATTCAATGTTAAAGGAAGTGCTCTATATCTGTATGGAGTTTGAAGTTAAAATAGCCAACTTGAAGATCCCTTGGTGCAGTTCACAGACCTGCCTTCTAAGACCTAAGCCACTCTAGTTTTTAGCTACACACCTGTGAGGATGTGCAGAATACTGTGTACAGACTACTTCAAGGTCACCCAGGCATCCAGGGTGCCATAATATTGATACCCATTTCATGTCATTCCATTGGTTATGCAGCAGTCAAGGCAAATAAAAATATAATTTTCAAGTTGTTTGCATATGGTGCTCAAGAGCATGATTTCCAAATATTACAGCCATCAATTGGCACTCAATGTATGCTGTGCAGAGTAGGATGACACAATAAAACAATGATGCAATGAAAAGCACATTTACTAAATGAGGAAATTGTGTTGTCCAGAGCACTCTGTTTGACTAAAGAGCATACCAACAGTTTTAAGTGAGCATATATCATGATATCTCAACTTACTTTAAACTCCAATGCAGAAATGTCTGCCTCAGTAAGGAAATACCAGTGCATGATTTGCATGCTGGCTGCACAGAAATTAGGTCAATATATACATAATAACAGGATGCGTGATAACTAGACACAACTGGATAACATTCCTACAACCTCTCCTCTTGCACTGGTAGAAACAGGCAACATGTGACCAACCATATCTTTATCCAGCTTGTGGTGAACTTTTAGTTTAACAGATTCATTATCTCTGCTTGTAAAACTGCATTGTGATGATATGTTCCTAACAGAGATTTCCTTGGCAGCTGTTTGGGGCAAATACACTATTCACTGATTTTCTTCAATGGTGGGATGCCATCATATCACCAGCAGCTTATTAATAACCACCAATGCATATACAGTAAGGTAGCAAAGCTGATGCAGCCTATAAACAACATTATGTTTTAAGAATAGCTTGACACATCATAAAGCAATATGGCATTTCATTCAATAAAATTATTGGTTTGTTTCTGACATCTGGTTTCAGGAATAAATAATGCTTAAACATCAATGGCTGGCAGGGCTGATGCCAATAAAGACTTTGGAGTCCATGGCTCTCCTGTTTCATAGAATGACCCCAGGCATGAGCACTGATGTATCATTTTGACATCTTACACTTAATATGCCCATATCAATTATCAGTTATGTTATGTACAGGTTAAGGATGAACTAAACCTGCTTTATAAACTTTAATGGAGTTTCAGTTCTACAGGAGGTGATTAACATACAATATGCAGGGTTATGCCCACTAAGGGCCTGTCCTCACTCCAGCCACCACCAGCTGATGGCTGCTAGCTGCCCACCCAGCCAAAACAGCAGTAAGGCACTCAAGTAGAGATACAGAAGCACCTGGCAGCTGGCTACTCCAAGTTCAATAAACATGTCACATGTTCACACACATGACACATGGAGACATGTGTTGGCTATTCTGTTGCCTTGGAGATCGACAATGCCATTGCAAAAGCCAAATGTGTATGCGTTGTATGTGCTATGTATGTATGTCATGTGTATGCATTAGGTAAGCTAAATTACCATCATAGCAAGTGAATTTTACACCACCAACTTGTGCAACATACATGGAATTTCACAACTTGCTGGTGGGGCAAGGGTCCACACAGCAAGCACTGTTCATCATGAGTCTTGCTCAATACAATCTACACAATCAAAATTTTGAACTTAATGTGTTTTGAATAAACAACAAGTATTTACAAAACAACAGGCTGACTGGAAGGTCTAATCATCACTGTGTTCAAACGTCCTGAATTGTTACCCAAGCACACTAAATGAAGAACACTGGGCAAGCAGTTAATCATATCATAATAAAGGGTTATCATAACTGCTCCTTCCACATACACTAAAGCAGCAGCTTAAATTTGTCCAGACATTATATTGGGGCTACTACACCGATACCAAATGGAAAAAGTATTGAGGCAAAAACGACGCAAAGAGACATCATGTTAATGATATAATTTTACGGATTATAACTTAGAGACTATGTTATTACCTTTTTCATATCAGACATGCAATTTTGGGGCCCCAAACATTACCTGTGGACCGCAGAAAGCCCGAGCAGTCCTCAATAAGAGCGATGTACTCCCAACCACACCCGCCATATTTGCCCCAAAATAGCCAGAACTTTAGGGCGAGCTCGGCTGGCATTAAATGTCTGAAATTTATCCGGAGTGCCAAAAATCATCTTAAGGTGTTTATCATTTTCAATACGGGGTGTCATTGAAAATAATTATCCATGGCCAGTGAGAATGACGGATGAATTTCAGAACTTCGTAAAGACGGATAACTTTTCGCGATGCTTAACTGTCATTGCTCGCTATAGGCTCGTTCGGCCGAGGGAAAATTATTCAACGAATAATTATCTCTCTTACAGTCATCCACCGAAACTCTCCATTTACATTTGACAGCTCCGGACTTATCCCCAAAGTTGTCTCTCACGTGCCATGCGTATTTAACGGCCATACCTACGCACAGCGAAAAAGGAATCTCCGTCTTGACCGTGCTCCAAAGATTTCAGGTTTCTCCCTTGATACAAAAAATTAACTAAGATCATTTTCGTGCTGGCAATGCCGAGCGCCATCTCGGATAATTTTCCAGCCTTATCTGTCAGCCAAACGCGTCACATGACTCGTACGTGTGGCACGAAAGTGAGGGATAATTTCTGGACTTTTCAAACACGAGTGGAGAACACCCGTTGCTGATTATCGGACAACAAATTGCTGGTGAAATTATTTTCCCTTAACCGAACACGCCCTAATGGTTTCGGGACTAATGTCATCGTAGGGTTCATTCGCGTGGGTCCAGTGAGTGTAGGTTTCCTGGGCGTAGGTCCCGTCAGTGTAGACCTCCTGGGCGTAGGTCTTGTGAGCGTAGATCCCCGGGGTGTCGTTCTCCTTGTGCGCCACCGGCTCGGTGGAGCTAATCTTTCCCTTCCTGGTGTGCTGTGCCAGGGTTGTTCTGCCGTGAACACTAAACAAGCTCTTCCGGACCCGCACACCCATACCGTGTGGTAGGCGGAGCAATTGAACGAACACTGAACCAAGAGGCATTGGCAGAATCTGTTGGTGTCTTTTGTTATCGCTCGGTAACGGCTGGCGCGGCGCGCTGGCCAACGTCGTGAGAACTTTACAACTCATGAGGACTTAACGACTCGGCACGGCTTGGCATGCTGGTTGTACATTTTTCTTTAAGCTTGTTAGATGTTAGATGTTATGTTAGATGTAATGTTAGAGAACGTAGCGTGTGCCCGCCTGGACTCGTCCAAAGACCAACTGGCACCTGCGAGCGTCGGGTCCCTGCCGCCGGCTCAGCGGCCGACCCTTGACCCCCAGCGAATCGGGAGACCCGCCGTCACGTGACGCCCCAGGCGCCCAGTCAGATGCAGAACTCGGAAGACAGCGAGGGCGAGGGCGCACACCCCGCACAATCGCACCACACCTCCACCTGACTGTAAGCAATCATGCCACTCTACCAATCGACACACACTCGTAATCGTCAATGAGATCGGTGGAGACACTGAAGCCGTACAACTCAACTGGTTGCCGGCGAGCGCGACCGCCCCTCCGCGGTTCCTGCGACTCTCCCTCTTTCTGTGGAGGATCCGGCCGAGGCGGTGATAGCGCCGCACTGTTGCTGGACACGAACAAGTCATCTTTGCGCACACCGCACCCCTCCAATTCATGCTCACCACAGCACAATGACTCAGAACTCGTACTGGCGCTCGACACTTCATCGCGATCGCTCCACGATAGCAAAGGGTGCTCAGCAGGGTCCGCAACCAACGGGCTTGATGGCACGGCAGGCGGATCTGAACCGCCTTCCGTAGACTCATGATGATGATGATTGGGGTTTTAGGGCGCATCGACTTCTAGGGTCATTTTGCGCCCAACCGTAAACTCATGATTCGACACAATGTTCGTCATCGGCAGCGTGCCTGTGTCGTCCCCAAACCCCTCAACCGCGCCAGGCATTCAGCTCCCGTTTGAGTCTTTGTGCGGGTTCCGGCGGCGCAGATATCGCACGTGCCAGGGCATGCCGTCGATCTCAACCACCTGGTCCGACACGACCCGCGTAACTACGCCCTGGCGCGACACATCGGTACAACCGCGTGGCGGGCCCCCGGCGCCGCATCCACACCGCATCGCCGACGCAAAACGACGATGATACGGGTTCCTGCATCAGCGGCGGTGCGGGCTCGGCAGCGCGCTGGCCGGTCGGCAGGTCGGCACCGGCTGCGCGGAATACCTGCGCCATCGGCGCGCTCAGTGAGTTAGCACCGTCCCGCGGAGTCGCATTGTACCGATGCACCGCTTCACTGGCGGAGCACCGTTGGCGGGCGACCATCACCTTTATAGTTCGGTGGGGGCGCTCCACGATTCCGTTGCCGCCGGCCTCGTGCGCCGCGCGAAACCGCAACCGAACCCCCCACTTCGCGGCGAATGCAGCCATTCGCCGGCTCCGGAATTCAATGGCATTGCCCAGCAGAAGCTCATCCGGCGCGCCGCGCTCCAGGAACACTCGATGCAGATGATCCGCCACTTCTGCCGCGTCAGACCGTCGCAGTGCGCTCCAAATGCTGTGCCGGGACGGACCGCAATCTACGACCGTGAGGTAGAGGCGGCCCTGGCAATGGGTCACGTCGATCGCGAGTCGGGTCCATGTTGTCGGGACGCCGAGTGAGCCGGACCGCCAGCGAGTCGGCACCGGGTCAATCGAACGGCACACATCGCACTGGCTGACGACGGCTCTCACGTCGGCCCGTGCGACGTGTCTGCCGAGGTCCCGTCTGGCGTACCACAGGGACCGGCGGATCCCCTGGTGCCCCGTCCGTTCGTGTATGCTTTTAATCCGGGTACGAACGTCGCTTGCCGTGGGCTCGTAAGCGGCTTCTTGGTCCCTCGGGAGCACCGCGACTTCTTCCGGCCCGATGGTCGCGGAGACCGAAGTTGCATCCCGCGGGGTGTCGTGAAAAATTTTGGCGTGGCGGCTACTGCGGTTGAAGTTCCCCAGACGAGGCTCTGCTCGCAGCCAGGCCTGGGGGACTTGGGTGAGCTCATCGGCAGGATTGTCTTGTGACCGCACCAGCTGGAGGGTCACCGAGAGCTGCAACTCGTCGACCAACTGTCGCATGAGGCCAATCCTGCGTCTGATCAGCATTTCCCCCAACGCTTTTGTTCTGAGACGAAAGCGTCCGCTCAAGGCGTCACTCAACCACTTGAACACTGCGGCCGAGTCCGTGCGTAAGCTGAAGCGCTTAATGCCCCATGCCAGAGCCATGTTCACGCAGGTCATCGCCGCGTCCAACTCGGCCATGTTGATGTGGTTCGCCGCCTTGGACTCTGGAAGGAGCCACGCGGCATCCTCGAGAACACCGCCCTCCGCATCCTCCAGGACTACCCCGCTCGCGATGGCGCTCGAGTCAGTCCACACCACGAGCTTCCGGCCGACCATTCGCCACGGCCCACGAGCAGGGTCAGCTGCCCTCACCTGCGTTGTGACTTCCTGGATATGCGCGCGCAACGCATCATCCGTCACCGGGTCGTCCCACCCGATCGTCACGCCGTTCACCTCGCCTCTTCAGCCAGGCAGCTGCTGGCCGCAATCACCCCGCCACGGGGAGGTGCGCCATCAACTGCCCACACCAGGCAAACACTGCACGCCGGGTGAGCTCGGTCGGCGGTGGAGGCACCCCATTGTCTCAACACCACTGCAGCTCATCATCCCGAGCCTCGACTCGAAGGCCGAGCATTCGCGCTCCGTCCGCGACACGCTCCGGCGGCTTACAGGCCAGCCCGTACCTCGCAAAGTGCCCCACCACCATGTCGGCACTGACCACGTCTTCGTCGACGAGCAGGTCGTCCACATAGGCGAGCACTCCCCGGCTGATCGTCTCGTTCTCGCGCAGCACCGCCTGAACAACGGCCTTCATAAACAACGGCGCCCCATTGAGGCCGAATCCGAGCTGCGTGGGGCCTGTAGATGCGGCCCTTGACCTGCACCGTCCGATACGGCCACATCCGGCGCTCCAGGCGTAGCTGCAAGTACGCTTTTCGCGGGCCGACCACGGCCAACCGGGCACCATGCTGGCGTCAGCGGCGCAACTGCTCGGCGCACACGTCGGCATCCGCAGTGTGCGCGGTCACATGGCGGTTGAGTTCGCGGTAGTCCAACACCGGCCTGGCCCTTCCCTTGTGCGGCTGTTGAACTGCTATCAAGGGAATCAAGCCCCGAGCGGGCCCGTTCTCACGCTCGTCATAGGGCTGGAGCCATCCGTTCGCCATCCACCCAGGCAACTCGCGCTCGTAGGCCTCTCGTGGTTCAGCCGACACAGCGTACTCACGATGCTCCGCAGACGTTCGGGACCACGTCCGTGCGCTCACTTCCACGTCACACGCCAGTGAGCGCCGTCGAACCGAGCCGTGAAATCGGCCGCTTCCAACGCCAGTAGCTTCGCGGGCCGCTGCCCGGCGCCGCCGCGCCGCATGCCGGCTCGTCACTTGCCGACTCCGGCGCCTCCTACGTTGCCGCACCCAGCTGCACGTCAGTCGGGGACGGAACGCTGATGCCTCCTAACGCGGTGATGCCGGACATGCCGATCAGCACGTCCAACTCCAATGGACGATCCGGGACCACCAGCGCCGCGAGCATTACTCGCTTGCCTCTGTAGTCGAACGTTACCTGAACGGTGCCCACGCACCGCAGCACTCTATCTTTCACCGTTCGCATCTTGGCCGCGCACGGGCACCACGTGCGGCAGCAGCTCACGTGAACCAGAGTGTCCGTACATCCCGTGTCGAGCAGGGCACGCCGGGGGCGCTGGTCCACCAGCAGTGTCACGACTGGCAGAGCGCGCGCTACTGCTCGGGGGACTGCGCTGGCGCTAACGCAGCCCCCTGCCCGTTTGGGCACGCCCCTGCCAGGTGACCTGCCTGTCCGCAGGTCCAGCACTTCCGGACGGGTCGCCTTGCCGGTCGCGCCTGTCGGGTTCCTCGTTCTTCGTGCGCTCCAGCCGCTGCCGCTGCCGCACCGGCACGTTCGTTGCTCAGCACTGCCTGGGCCCGCACCAGGATGCTTGCCAGAGTCAAAGCCTCTGCCTAGGAGCCAGCGCGGACAGTCCGC